TATTAATCACATTTAATTTATTTAAAGTTTAATTATTTTTTTGCTATTCATAATAAAACACAAACTTTAGTTATTTTTAAAAATAATTTAAAAATTAAGTAAATCATTAATTTTATACATAAGCATTGAATCGATAAAAAGTGTTAAGCGATTTTACTAATATAAGGGTACTTTTATCAATTTTCTTACCACCATAATAATCAGTGTAAAATGATGAAAAAGATGATAATATTTACTTACATTAAAACCCATAAAATTAAACACAGAATATATATAGTATATGATATATTAATTTAATATGTAATTGCAAAGAAAAAAAGAAATAAAATAAAAATTTAATAATATAAATAAATAATCTTTTCTCAAGTTTAATTAAATGTTTTAATTGGTTGAAGAAATTAAAAGTTTAAATATATTTAATATTAGTTAAATTAAAAATATTGTATTTAGAGAATTATTGAGAAATATGGAGAGTAGGAATTAAAAAAGGTTATAAATTTTTATTAATTAAAATAATATTTAATATGATAATATGATTATATCATAAATTAAGTTTAATTTAAAGAGGTATTCAATGAATATCAAAACTCTAAGCAGTTTATTAAAAGTATAAAAAAATAAATAATTAATATGTTTGCTTTAAGTAACTTGTACAATCTAGAAAAATTTTCCAATATTAAATATTTTTATTTTCTCATTTAAAGTGTTATACTTATATCAAAAATATCTGAGAGGATATTTTCAAAAGTATCTATTATTAAATCGCCTATACACAATAAATTAAAAATATAAACTGTGAACAAAATATTGAATATTGATTATAATCGATCAGATATTTAAAATTATGAATTTGCATAATCTAATAAAAATTTTAAGAATATTAAAGGAGATATTTTATTTGATTTTAAATTTTTAATTTATATTATGTATTCATTTCATTTGTTAATTTTAATAAAATTTTTTACGATCAGCTTGAAAAGTTTCGTCCATAATTCGTCTTGGAAAAATGTATATCAACAAAAAAATTTTAACCTAAGACACATTTGTTGAATCAGATATAGAACTTTATTAAAAGAATAAATTAAAATTGACTTCTGTCGATTAAAATCATTGCATAATGTTGTCTTCATTTTTTTCTTCTAAATCGTCCTGTTCATCTAAAAGAAGAAACTTTTAAATCTATTCACTACGAATATATATTTTTTATCTAATTCACCACTAAAATCTTTCATTTCGTTATCATTCTAAAGTTTATATGAAAATCAATAATGTATTCTTTGGTTTGTTAAAATTGTTACTATTTACTAGGGTCAGACCGAATATCACTTTTTAAAAGTATATACTATTTTTCATTTAATGCATCAAAAAATATCAGAAAATAAAATTTAAAAATATACATAATCTTTAATTAAATTATGTATATTTCTAAATATTAATTAAATCATCGCTAATAAATAGCGATGACTATTTTTTAAAATTACAAAGTGCTATAAACTATCCAGGTCTTTTAGCACCTTTGAGTTTCTAATTAACCTAGAATATTTTATTTTCTAAGAATTCGATTTATTGTTTGATTTTTTATAATTATTTACCATATTCAATAGGTCTTATTTAAGCAAATAAAGCTTAGGTTTTGTTTGAAATGTAAATAAAATTTTATTTTGGTTATTTTTCTTTTAAGAACTGTTGATGTTTGAAATCTTATTTTCTCATTTCTAGATCTATAAATGATACTTCTTCCATAATAATTCGCTTTAATAAATTCAAAAAAAAAATAATTTATTTTAATAATGTTGCATTTGATCAATAAGTAGCATTTTCTTCCTTATTTTCAGATAACATATCTTTTTCTATATCTTATTCTTATACAACATGTCATGTCTAACTTTATCATCATCAACCTATAATATATCATAATTTTATTAGAATATATTTGTTTTTAAGAAATTAAGTTAGTAGTATAATTAAAGTTTGTTTAAAAGTTTTAAAGTAATTTATTCAAGCCATTTTTATTTTACTTATTTTTAATTATATCAAAATGAAGATTAGTTTACTAAATAAATCTTAATAACAAATTATTTTTCTATGCTTTACCCTAATGTTTTTTCTTTATTTCTATAATAATATTTTATAAATAATTAAAAAAAAAGATAAATTTTATACCATTTTAAAGTATAAATTAGCACTTGTTAAATGCAATATAAAAAATAAATTAAAGTTTAGTTTCTTGCTTCTTTACTTTTTTGATTGAAACTGTGATTCAAACAATAAAATAAGAAATATAAGCTTGTAAAAACAATATTGAGCTAATTATTTAATTCTAGAAATAAATTTAATTGCAAAAAATTTTAGTTAAAATTATCAGTTTTTAATTTTTATATGAAAAAAAAAAAAATCTATATGTCAAAAATAATAATTGTAATTTTTTAATCACCTTATTTTCATTTTAATAATCTTAAAGAGAAGATCGATCTTGGAACTTTTCAATAACTCTTAGATTATTTTTAGTAGACATTAATATTATTGTTTGTTTGTTTATGATTATTATTAGTTTGTTAGATTTAAGGCTATAATGCTGTAGAGCTTTTAATTTGCTAGCTATTTATTAATTTTAACCACTTTTTTGCCTTTTTTTCTCTTGAGGGAAGCTCCACTAATATATCTTATTTAGTATTTGGACATAAAGATATATATCATTCTCTACTTTTATAATTTTTTTAGTAAAATTAATTTTCCTTATCTTGAATTAGAAGTAATAACATTGAATCTTTTATAAAATAGAATAAAAAATAATTTGTTAAAATATTTAAATTGGATTTACAAATAATAATGTGTGGATTTATGAGATAAAAATTAAAAAAGTATAAAATATTTAATTGCATTAAAATAAAAATTTATTATAACATAATAAAAATAAAACATAAAGTAAATAATTTTATAATTTAAAAATTAATTATAAAATATCAAAAATTAATAATTTATTCAACACTTTGAAAATTCTACTTTAAAAAATAAGTGTTTTCTAATATTAATTTATCTCTTAAGTTCTAAAATGATATTCCAAAATTATATTCACTATCTACTTTAATTAAGCTTTACTCAATCATATTTATATTTTCATATCTTGGATAATCAGAAAAATAAAATAATTATTTAGAAAGACAAAATCTAAATTCAATTTCTTCAAATTAATTTGATACTTCATTTTAATTTAAGCTAATTCCTTTAACAACTTGATGTTTTGAATCATTCCAAGAATAATAACCGTTTTTATTATCTTCATTAATTAAATCTTTATTTACTTTATCACTTGGTATAATTCCAATTCTTAAATAACCATAGTCAATGTAAAAGGTTCTATTAAGTTTAAATCTAAAAATATAAACTTTGCTATTATCTATTTTTTAATTAAAAATAATATTTCCATATTTATTTTATGGAAATTCTATTTTTGTCTAATTTATTTTATTTAGTGCTATTTTTGTTTATTTGCTATCTCTATAGTCAGTAGACTTGAATATTAATAATTCTTCTTCACTAACTTTATCATAAGTGAAACAGTTTAGGTACTAGTTTATTCCACTTAAAGTCTTTTCTAAATTAATTAGAAATTCTAGATAATATTAATTAGAATCTTTAGTAATTAATTAAATAACAAAATCTTTATTAAAGGACTTTTATTAATTTAATTATTGATTATTGTTAGATTTTATGTATTATTTTGCTACATTAAATAACTCGCTTAGTTAACTTTCATTTAGATTATTAAAGTTAGGAGGAATAGATTCTTCACTTTCATAAATATTTCCTAAATCAACTTTATTCAGGATGTAAGAGTATTTATTTAGTTATTACTTAACATTTTTAATAAATGTTTCTGAACAATTATTCATTTTATTGCTAACCAGGCTTATTATTTTATTAACATTATCACTTTATTTTTCTAGATCATTCAAGATCTGATTTTATTATTAAAGAATTTAGTCTAGATTTCTAAAAGGAATAAAATCAATTCTCTCTAATATAGATAATATGTGATCTTTAATTAAAGAAGGTTATTCGAAATTTATTTAATTTTAATAATCTTCTATTTAATTCAATTTAGTTAGTATTAATTATTTATTTGTATCTAGATTAGAGTTAACATTTTAAATTATTTCTTTAAGTTTATTATTTTTCTACTCAGGACTAGTCTAATTATTCATTATTTCTTGTCTGATCGATTATTTTTAGCTTAAATTATTATAAAGCTCTAATATGCTAGTATTTAAATCTAAAATACTATCAGCTTTTTGAAGCATCTAATTCTACATTTATTCTATTTTTAATAATACTTTTGCTAATAATTCTTTGAAGTAAGATCTAATCTTCTCTTTAAACTCCAGATTATTTGGTTGCTTCAAAGAAAATTCTTAAATTTTTTGGCTGATAGTTTGATCATCATAAATAGGCCAGTTAAGAAATACTGTTTTCTAATCACTTTCAATAGCCTAGTTAAGTAGAATAAGTTTATTTGGTTAAATTAAATTTTCAACTATGCAGAAATTGCATTTAAAAATGCACTCTTGTGTGGTATCAGTACAGATAAATGAGATAGGGTATGTGGGATGTAATTAACATTTTAATAAAAATGGTTATTAATCATAAAAAGAAGATGCCTATATGATATTATTTGAATTATTTGTTGATTATTTAGATAAAGTATCCATTTTTCCTTCAAAAATATCTACTATTTTTTTGAGATATCAATAATATTATTCTTTTTTAATTGATTAATTAATTGATATTTTTATATATATTTTTTTATTTATTCAATCTGTCTGTCTAACTATCTCATATCAATTTACTAATTAATTTACCTAAATACAAAAAAATTACTATTATATAATAAATAAGTTTAGTAAGCTTAAGTGGATAAGAAATGTATCTTATTTAAATGAAAGACAGATTTAGAAAATTAAGAAGATCAAAAAATAAATACCGTTCATATCTTAAGACACCCCCTCATAAATAATAAGTTAAAATGGTAAGTACTTTTACGTCAATTAGATGTGTTGGTTTTTTTTTAAATTTTTGCTAGAATAAGTCAAAATTCTTTAAATTTTATTTCATTAAATACTTTGAAAAAAGTAATATTCTTAATTTAAAATTCAAATAAGATTACATTTATTTTATATCTTCTTGTAAATATAATAAAATCTTATTCAGAAGAAGAAAATTTAATATTAGCAATACCTTTTTATTCAAAAATATCAAAATTATTTACATATTGAATATTTAGAATATTATTTTAAAAATTAAACTTATAATTTGAAGCTACTTTGAGATGGTTTAGTTCTACTTATTAATTATTTTATTTCATTTGAACAATATATTTTTTTTATAAAGAGCAATTTTTCAAACAGTGATCATCTTTATTTTCATTATTTTTACAAGCTAATTTTTTTTTAATTTTTTCTATGAGTTTTATGTAATCTCCAATTTCTTCTTAAAAGGGAAGTGCCAATTGCGAATGCTGTTTATTATATGATTAAACCAAAATCAGAGAAAACAGGAAAATATTAATTTTCAAAATTGTATTGATTTGTTTATTCATTAGAATTGATTATTGATTATATTTTAACTTTAATTTTTTCTTTTTCTTCACTTATTTCTAATAATCTTTAGATTATATTTATAATTAGTATTATCATTAAAAATTAATTAATATCTTTAATAATTTCCCTTTTAAATTCAGAAATTCTAGTATCATTTGCAACATTAGTTTTAACTTATTTCTTTTTTTCTTATAAACTTTTCTTTTTATTTTATGTTTTTTATTTTACTCTTTTTGAATTTATTATTATTCTTACTTTTATTTCTTTATGAATAACTAATTATTCTTCTCTAAATTTCTTTTTATTCTCTATTAAGATTTTTTTATTTTTTTTATTAAGCTTTTTCTTGGTATTTTTATTGATTGAGTTAAAATTTTTCTTATTTTTTCTATTCTTTGATTTCTCACTATTTCTATTTTTAATTTATAATTTCTCTTTCTTTTTTTATTCTTTGAGTTGTTATTTAAAATTTAATGGCTGGCTTGGCATACTCAAAATCATATTTTTAAGAGTCCTTAAAAAAGTAGTTTTGATTAAAGAGGAGGTATATTTTTAATTAATATATTTAATTTTAATGATTTTGTATTTAATTTTTTTTTTTGAATTTTATAAAATCAATTTAGTTTATTATATTTCATAAAACTATTTTTAAATATAAATTTTTATTTTTTAATATTTTTTAATATAATGTTAATTTAAATTTTATATTCTATTTTTAAAGGCTAATTGAATCTTAATATTTGAACCACAATTTTATATGAATATATAGTTAATATGAATAATATATTTTAATTAATATAAATTATAATAGTTTATCCAATTTTTTCATGCAGTAACTTAAAGATTATAGCTTAATATACCGCATGTGTTGTTTGGAGCAAGTCTAATATAGCCATTTTCACCCCAACTAGTGCTCCAAGAATTTTTAACGATCCAATTACCTTGTTAGTCATAGCCAACAGCTAATACAGCATGGTTTAATCTAATATTAGATTAGTTACATCCATTGTAAATTCCAGACTTATATTGGCCCCAAGTAGAAGCATCAACAAGAACAGAAACAGGAGAGAAATTCAAAGCACTTTTTAAATCGTTCGAAGTGTTAGGAATTTAAATCCACTTTTTAGGCTTAAACCCGTTATTTGTACCAGTCACAGCACACTTCTTTTAAATTGCAACATATGGATAGCTCTATAGGGTAGTGATACCTACTTTGGAGGCATAATCAAGACATTAAACAGGCCATCCTCCGTTACATCCTTAAGAGGAGTAACCGTTTGCAGGGATGACACAATCAACGAGTTATTGCTCAGAAAAATCAACTAAAGCTTTGTTTGAAATGAAGTTAAATGACTCCATTAAGCCAGCTGCAGAGAAACTCCAGCATGAACCACAACTACCTTAATTCTTAACCGTAGTTACAGCACCTTTTGTTCTCCAGTCTATAGAAGCAGCGATAGCAAGATTTGATGCTTTCATTTCCTTATTATCATTATTATTGGTAGCCTATTAACCAATATCTTTTATTTGATGGTCAACCAAATCCTATTTCATAAGAATTTTTTCAGTAAATTCTTCTTAAGTCATATCTGAGAATTAGTTAACATCAATAGAATAGGTATTGTTAGGATTACTATTATGTTCCTTAATCTTTTACAAGTTCTCAAAGAAAACCATTTGTCTAAATAGTTTTTCATCTTCATTCAGATACACTCTTTGATTTTAGCTTGACCATCTATTATAAGCAAGGAGTTTTTCTACACTTATATCTTAAGTCAAACAAATAGGCATGAGCATGATAATACTCAAAAGGATAAATCTATTCATACTTTATTTAAAGTTTTAGTTTTATTTTTAGTTTTTTTTTTGTATTTTATTTTTTTTATTCTTTAATGTTTTGAGCAAAAATGTCTAAGTATATAAAGAGTGATAAGGTTCAATTTGGAATAGGGAATGTTTTTGTAAGCCTAATTTATTTTTGAGTTCAGTAAGAAAATTAAATAAGTTGAAGAAAAAATTTAACCAATTTTCTTTTTTGTTTATCTTAAATTGTAATTTTGTTTATAGAAAAATATAATTTTATTAATAAAACTACTTTCCATACTTAATACATTAAATTATAAACCTTAAATATTTAAAAATATGCATTAAATTAGATTCGATAAATATAACTGAAAATATAGATTGAGGATATAAATATTGTTATTTTTAGATTTTAAATATAGAAGAAGCATTTAAAAGATCATTAGATTAAATTTATCAGATCTATATTTCATCATTTTAGATTAACTATAAAATTCTATTTCAAGTAGAAAGTTTATTGTCAGAATTAATTAGTAATTGCAGTTATGAAATAAAATTTTGAACAATTTTTAACGTATTTACTCAAATAAAATAATAGATTGTAACATTTTGTAATTTCTGATAATAATTTAGCAAAAATTAATTTTTATTTTGTAATACATATCATACTCACTTTTATAAAACAAGATATTGAAACTTAAATTTTACTGTTCAATTTTTGACTCTATTTTCTTTGTGTATGTATGAATATATATTTTAATTTAGGAAAAATATTTAAATTATGATCTACTTGTTTCTTTAGATATTAAAGTTAGAGTTTAATATAAATTTCTAATGACTTAATTTATCTACAAAAGCACTCTATTATCAGCTAATGAACTGAAAAAAGCTTGAGATTCTTAAAATAGAATTTTATATTTATATTCGAATTTGTTAAATTAAATTCATGCTTTTGATCAATCAATCAAATAGACTCTAATTAAATAAACTTTCTATAAAACTTTATGATTTTTTATATCTTTACTGGTTTTATATATAGCTATTATAGAGCAGCAATTATATTTTGATTGTCTAATAATATTTTGAGATATTTATTTCATTTAAATAAATCATTTTAAGTAATTTTTATCATTTAGGATAGTTTAAAATTAAAATGATATTTTTAACGAAAATCATATTCCTGATAAAACTTTCAACACTTTTTTTTAAATTTTATAGAAAAAAAGTGATTTACATTCAGTAGATTTTTTCAATTAATTAAATTAAGAATAAATGCTAAAAAAAATAAATTTTATTATCAATTATCGAGGTTTATTTAACACAATAAATTCAATAATATGAATTATATAAATATATTTTAAGTATTTTTAGTATGCATTAATTCATTTTAGACAGTATTCTTGATGCATTTATAGAAGATGAAAATGGATTTTGTTATTTTTATGCTTATAGATCTGTATGTATAAAATAAATTATTTATATAAAAATTATTTAAAATTTTTGAAAAAAAGATTATTATTAGGTTATTGTATTTTATAGGATAATATTCCAAATTAAAGGATATTTTGGTATTATATTTCTTTTTAAAAAACATATTTATTTGTATACACATTTGTTTTATTATTTAAATTAAATTATTTGCATTTTAATAATGTTATCAGCAAAATTTCTATTTTATTTGAAAAGGGCATTAACTCACTAAAAATATATGTTAATATAAAAATTTTAAATATTTTGTTTTATAAGCAATATTTATTAAATAAAAAAGAATGTTTATATATGAAAGATTTAAATAATATTCATCTCAAACCTCAAACACTATTAGTGCATTATCATATTTGATTTATTTTGTTAAAAAATTTTCATTTAGAATATTTTTTTACCATTCGTAATAAAACACAAAATCTTCAGTTATAATTAAAAATAAAGTAAATCATTATTTTTATACATAATTTCATAACAAATTTTTTTAATTATTAAGCAAATACTGTTTATTATTTATAAAAGCTTAAACTTTTATTGTAGGCATATATAATCAAATAAAAAAAGAATTTCTATGCAAATTACTTTTAAGCCCTGTACAAAATAGATATTGCAAACTCTTGAAATAGATCATCATTATTTGATAATTAGTAAAAAGTGATACAGAGTTATTTTTTAAATTAAAACTTTAGAAATATTTTAAATTTAGTAATTTAGTTACTGAAATATATAACTTGCAATTTTTATTAATATATATTTAATTATTCTAATTTAGATAATTTGTAAAACATTATCTTAGAAAATATTTTTAGAAATAGATAATTAAAATTTAAATGCAAATAAAATAAATAAAAAAATCATTATTTTTTAAAATAATTTTTGAGACATAATATATTAACTTTATTTTTTTAATGGTTCACCTTTCTTCTGTATACTTTTATTATATATTTATCTTTATATGATATATCAAATTAATCAATATATTATGTATGAGAAAGATAATTTATTAATTACAATTTTTAACCTTATATTTTTATAATATAAATAAAATATATTTTTTATTTTAAAAAAAATACTGTTTAAAATAATTAGAAAATAAGGTAAATTAATTAATTAATTTTGAATTAAGAAAGACAAATAAATTTATTTGTTAACATGGAAATAAGAAGAAACTCACAATAATATATAACATTTAATGATTATTCAATTTATTAAATATAACAATTAGGAAAAATACTTTTTTTACTATTAAACGCTTTTTTATTAAAGAAATATTTATTTTGATCATAATTATATTATTTTTTATAAATTTTAAAGATTTTAAAAAGAAAGAGTTTGCAGTTAAATTGGTTTGATTCAAAGGTGCTAAAGGTAGTGAGTATATTTAATCTTGTCAGAAATAATTCCTTCATTTTATTGTAAGCTATAAAAATCTAAATTTGGTTTTTCAAAGTATAATTTGCTCGTAGTAACGAAAGTTCTTTTGTAAGGATGACTTTTATATTTATTATATTTGTTAAGAAATACCTTTTCAAAGAAGATAATGATAATTTGTAAAGAAGAAGATTTATTTTTAATAACTAATATGTCAGTAAATTATTGATACAAATCGAAATTAAATAAGTTTATTTTTTTAATTTAAATATTTTTTTATTTTACAATGGGTCTCCAAACATTATTGAACTAGAATTTCCTCTTGCAATTTTAGGTTCTTAAATTATTAGCCTATTTCTTTGTGCATTCATATGATAGGGTTCCATTGGTTTATTTCTTTATCCTGCATGTGTATATTGTTTTTAAGCATAGGATTCTCTAAAGAATTTATAAAAAATAATTTAACATTCAATCATTCGTTATTTGAAATAAATATTTATAAGCAAAAACAATTTTGGTTTAGCATTTGCTAGTCTTGATTATATCTACCAATATCTAAAAAAATATTATGTATTTATGAATGCTATTGCTACTTGTAGTTAAAGAATATGTTTGCTTTGCTGAAATAAACTGTTAACTAAATAAATATTCTAAAAAATTACTGGGTAACTGTTGATATAGATCTCTATTTTTTCTAAGTTTTGCTAGGTGAGGGTGAATTATGCTTTTCAAGATAATTTGGACTATAATAAGGCATAGCCAAAGCTGATCCTCCTTTTACAAAAACAAATGAGCAAGATTCAACTTTAGAATTTTAGAAATATTTATGCTATTTATCTTATTCTTTTTCGCGTGCTACAAAAACGGATTGGTTTCTTTTGCCAAATGGAGAAATCTCATGCCTTGATTGTTAAATTTTGCTATTTGGGCTATATGTCGGATAATCTCTTGAAATATTTTACATTTCGTAAAAAGTACTTTGCTAATTTACAATTAATTAAATATGCTTATATTATTTTCTTTAAATCCCTTATTCTAAAAAATCAATCAAACTATTTTTACTGATCAATCAATATTTTTTATCAATAAATTTATTAATTTAATTTGACTGGTTCTAGGAATAACTTTTTATAATATTTATTCTAAATTATTTGCCATTAAGCATTTTTTATCATTTTCGTTGAATTATGTCTTAAGACAAAAACTTAGATTAATTAAATTGCATTTAATTAAAGTATTTTGCGAATTTTATTATGAATTATTTATATAAATTATCATTTAACAAGCTAGTTTATTTTTAAATACTCCTAAGTAATTAATTCATCTAAATTTAACTAATTATCAATCAATTTTTAATATTTAATGTAAATTTTTTCTTCTAAATTTTCAGAGAAATAAAACCAAAAACCATATTCATATAATAAGATTATTACCTAATAACATTTGGGAGGGAATTTATGAAAATTAATGCATTTTTAAGGTATTTAATTAATGAATTTCTTAGTATTTTAAATTATGAATAACAATTTACAATATAATGAATTAAATTTATAGCATTTGTAATTAAACAAATATTTAAGGATTATCATCAAGCTATTTTTTTAATTTAGTTTCACATAAGCTATTTTGATCAATTAGTAAGAAAGAATTTTAAAAATATGTTAAGAATCATTTTAAATAAGACTAAAATTTCATATTTGTTACTCAAATCAATCTAACTAAACGTTTATCATTAAAGGATTTGAATAAATATTTTTAATAGATAATTTAATTGAGGTTTTTTAAATCTTAAAATAATTTTTTGATTGTAAATAAAATATCTTTTTTTAGTTAGATCCGATTCTTAGATTTAAAAAATATTCGTTTTGATGAATATTAATAAAAAGAATAAATTATAATTTAAGGTAATAAATAATTAGTTAAGTTGTAAGTAATTTAAAATTATGTGATAAAAAGTACATGTATTGAGAAGAAAAAAATTAAATTTATTACTTAAATAATTTAACAGTTCATAAGGTATTAATTGATATTTCTTTAAATGTCTAAATAAATTTAAGTGGTACTATAAAATATATTGTAATCTAGGAACTCTCTCGCAGTAAAAAAAAAAAACTTAAAAATTATTTCTCATATCCAATGATTTTTGTGGTTCGATCTAAATTTTATCATTTTTTAAAGTGAGAGAGACTTCAAATTTTACTATATATTCTGCGTATTTAGGTTTTAAGATTTTTTTACTAATCATAGTAAATATTTATGTTCTTCACAATATCTTTTTAAAGAATCCTAGTTAGAGTTATTTTGTCTCTTAATTATAACAAGAGTGAATAGACAGATATTTAAAAATTAATTTGTTCTTACAATAATAAGTGATTAAGTAAGAATAGATCATTCTTTATTTTCTTTTAATTACAGATAATATCTGGAGACTTAATAAAATATGATTATAATAATAATCCACTAACATAGAATACAATAGAATATTGAATTTCACAATAATCTTTTTTTGTGTACTTGATTCAAAAAATAAGAAAAAATCATTCAGATTAACAAAAAAGTAAAAAAGATCTAAATTTCAATTTTATATAGTGTAAGTAAGTGATCTTAAATAAATGTTTGAACGATTTCTCTGACTTTATTTTCTTTGATTAATAAGAGTGGGACTTCGAAAAAATAGTAACTTTAAGATAAATAATATTTAATTTTGATTGGTAGAAATTAATATTAATAATAAGTCATAGTATTTTTTCTCAAAATTTAAAATAGATAGATAAGTCTTTAATAAAAATTATTATTCTAAATGATCAACGCCATCACGCTTGTTGTATTAATAAGCTTTTTGAGTCGATAAATTTACAACCAAGTTATGTTAAATCCGTAGACATAGTAGTGTCCAGGATTAAGGCAGATTTCAGGTATATAAGCTTTAACCATCTATCATGTTTTTATAAATAAATTACTAATTCGATAAAGGAAATTTAGGTGATATAGTAGATATTTAAGCTATAAGTGGAACTGATCTAATAGCTACTAGAGATATCAATGGTGAGATTTAGATACTTGAAAGTTAAACCTTGAGTATAAAGTATACTGCCACATTAAATACTTAGAGTATTTCTTCCTTTTACGTAAGTGATTAGCTTATGGTTGGATTTGTTTTATAAAGGAGCTTTGTTGTTTACTCTTTAAGGGAAAATATGTAAATATATAGTGCAACAGCATCAGGTAAATTGAAAATGAAAATAAAATCATATTTTCTGAATAATATTTTAAATTTGATTAGATATTATGCAGTTTGTAGCAGTCACTCCATATGTTTATTAATAAGGATTAGGTAATTAGCAAAGTGGCTAATTAATTATCGCTACTATTTCAAGCTTATAAAAGATTTACTTGTATTTTGTGCAAAATGACTAGATATAATACAATATTTAAAATTCATGTAATTTTTTTGATATTTTTGATTTTTACTTCTATAATTTGCTAAATTTTTTAAAAAGATGTTCTTAGAAATATGACCAATCCATTTAAATTAACGAATGACCAAGCTTTACCATCAAAAGTTTTTGATTTTGTTTAAAGTAATTAAGTAAACTAAACGTTCATAGCCTTTGTTTCATAATCTGGTACGCTAATTAGCGGTATCATACATAATGTTTCAAATAGCAACAATACAAATGTTTAGTATTATTATGATAACTACCTGTTAACTGGTACCGTTTAAACGTTTAAGTATTTACCAACTATTAACGTTTTAGCGATTTATTACACGTCTGGTAACTTGTGCTTTTATGACACAAACAAAATTAATATTATTAACAAAGGAAATAATCAAATAGTGCTTAATTTCTAGACATTCATCTCAAATCCTAAAATATGCATTAGTCAATGTAATTTTTACTTTTTTCCTTAATTAATTGTGGTATCTTAAAATACCAAAAGACTTTCAGTAGATTTCTTCCACAAAATTCAAATTCGTTCGTTCATTCTATACAAATTAATTAATTAAAGAAAGAAAGATAATATTTTTTGTCCATCGAATAAAAATAATAAAGATTTATATAAATTTGGGTTTTTATAAAGATATTTGAAATAATTTCTACTTTTAAAAGTTAAATTATTTTTTTCTTTTACCTAAATAAATACAATACAATTTAAAAGAAAACTAACTTTTTATTTGTATTTAAAGTGGTGCCAATAACAATGATCAAAGATGTCTAGAGTAACAGTTAAACATATTTCTTCTTTTTCACACAGACCTACTTCTATGTTTATGAAGCTTAAGATTTTGTCAATAGAAATTTTAAATTTACCAACTATAATTAAATAAATTTAAAATTTAATCCATTTTCTCTTTCAGCTACATCTATTTTCTAGCTTAACAACACCCAATTATTTTTGGGATTTTAACTCGGATACGTAGGGCAGTTTAACTTTAATAAATCAATGATATCAGGTAATTACAATCCATCTGTATAGGGAAATTTATTATAAACAAAAACTTTAACTACTTTAGGTTATAATACAATTAACTATATTAATCAAATCAATGATTAACAATATCTTATTAGATTAAATTCTATTAAAATTAGTGACACAAACAAAAAAACTCAAAACTATGTTTACGATGCAGTGTAAAACTAGGCAATTAATTTGTAGTAGTTTTCATATACTTTCTTATCAAGTTTAGAAAGTTTATTTTTTAGCTCCTAGTTTAGTTAAAATGTTACTGTTTACGTAAATTACTTTGTAATAAACTTCTACCTAAAACTTGCAAATGGGAAATGCTCTTCAACTACAGCAAATTAAAGTGTAAGTTAGATCAGAATATATTGTAATAATAATGGTGTATAAACTTTGTAAAATTACACAATTAGTGATTATAGTTAAAAAGTCATTAAATAATATGTCAGTTTTTAAGCATATAATTAAAAAAAAAGCTATTTTATATTATCATAATACAATTAACAATTTGACTATTCAACATTTTGCACTACTCCATCAAGATTGCTGCAAGATAATGAGCAGAGCGAAGAGATTTATCTATAAAATACAACTGATTACAAAAAAAGAAATCTGTAATCCCTAAAATCATATATAAACTTAATTATTATTGACAGTAACGGTATTAATATTTTCTAAAATGAACCTCCTTTTCAAACGTTTAGTTCAATTCTAAGTTAATCACCAAATATATTTACTTATTAGAATAATGAAGGAACTATAGTGTTTATTTAACCAAATTATATTTCTTTCTTATATATTTTAGATAAAAGTCCATAATACACTTTTCAGAAATATATATTTGCCCTTTAAGACATAAATAATGAGCAATTGCTGAGCAATATTTAAATAGAGCAATTTTAAGACTTTGTATTTATTACAAATGATGATTATTTTTTGCTAATAATTTAAACTGCTAATGATATTAAAGCTTTACTCTACAATTACAATAGAAGCTGGAATTCTTAATAAAATAATAAAGTAATCAACCTGATAAAAATAATAGATTTAAAAAGTCTTAATGTTTAAAATTAATTGGTTGGATATTAGGCTCTTTATATTAGTTATTACAACTTGACACTGATCTACAATATCAATTGGATATATATCTTTTTTTTTGATAAATAAGCCTACCAATTTAACAAGATTGACTCTTTTTATTTCTTACAATCAACTGCTCTTCCTTATATATACTACTCTGCTTCACTTTCTACTTTGCATGTTTTCATCTCATCTTAACTTTACTAGTAATTTTTTCATTAAATTATCTAAATCATTCATTTTTGAAGGTTTTATCAAAAAAAATTTTGCAAATCAATTACTTTTTTAATTCATTATTAAATTTTAATGACAAAATTAATTAAGGCTAATAAATATAAAAATATTTTATAATTTAATAGATTAGACTTATAAAAGTATGTGAGCTAATAAGCTATGGATCCTAAATAGTGTCTAGTAAACAAATACATAAATTTTCAGCCTACTCTTTTCTAATAATATCTTAACAATCCTCTTTCAACTAATCCATCTTTCATATATGATTAAATCTAACTTTCAGGCTCACTTCTTGAAATTAGTTTCTTATAGCAATATTATACTTCTAGAAGTCCTGTATATTAGATGAATATGTATGCAGGAATAAATTATTAATGGAATAGTGCTCATTTCCAAATTTAGTCTACTTCGAACACACAAATAACCTAAAATTTAATTTTAACTACTTATAGCGATAGCTAAAATTAAAATCTAATTAATTAATTCACTATTTAAGGTACAAATCAAATAAATTTTAGTGGATATTAATAGCTTATGATCTAGAATGCTGCTTTTAACACAAATTCTATTTCATAGTATTAAATTCCTATCACTTTCACATGCCTAAATGTTCAGCTGAATAACATTTTCTTTGTATAAAAAAGGTAAATTTTCTAAATTGTAATAATAAGTGCTCTAATTCTTCATTTATTATAAACCACTTACATTAAGGCCAAAAAAATTTTAGAACCAGATATTTTTAATTTAAATAAACTACAATACAGTTTTCATAAAGAACTAAATTAAAGAATTTACAGTATTTTTATTAGAAATTGCAAAGAAATAATCAACTTATATATCTGAATGATTTTTTAAGTTTTTAATTTACTTAATTAATGATATATTATTATTATTATTTAATAGATTCACAACACCTCTGATGTCTATAATTGTGGGAAAAAATTTTAGCTTTTAAAGCATAAATTTTAACTTTATGACTTTTTATAAAATAAATTCTTTAATTTAGATAAATAGTCAAAATAGCTTATTAGCAATAAAATTAACTGATATAAACATATTTGAATCTTCTTTTATTGACACTTCGATTATCAATTCTCCTATTCCTATTTAATATACCATATAAAATCTTCATATTAAAAAGAATGTGATAATATCAACTAATGGATAAGTGAGAAATTTTATTAATTCTTCTTCATATGCTATAAATAAGCTCTTATTTCATCATAACGTTTTATAATACGTATAGTTTATAGGTAACCTTTTTATATTTATAAATTAAATTTTAATCTTATTTATAAATATAAATTAGGTGTCTAAAGTTAATCTTCTACATTTACAGCTAGCATTTCTAATAGTATGATTTATAATAACGTTATTTTAGCAGGCTCTGCATAGTAGAATATAATCCTTGATTTAGAGCTTAATTAATAAATAGCTAATTCTTCAGCATCCTTTTTAAACTTGTTCATATCTTAGAATTCAGTTATTTATGAGCTCTTCAATAAAAGCCAAATTACAAATTACTTTGATTAAACAGAATTTAGTTATACCTAAATTTAAGAAGTTTCATAACAGAATTAGTTACAATTTGTTTATATTATAAAATTGCAAAATGTTCAAAATATAATTGCTGAAAACATAATATTTTAAAACAACCCAAGTATAAATCTGATTTTTTCCTAAATTTCTTCGAACGTTTATATTTCAAATATATTATGCAGTTTTTCTAAGTAATAATAATCAACATCTTTTTGCATTAAACTTATTAATCATGTAAATTTAAATGCAACTTTAACGAATATTAATATCACAAATTACTATTCAAAAAATGACTTCTCTTTAGCTGTTTAAAGTCTAACTAACTTTATGGACGTTTAAGATTTTACTGTTACTAATATCACATTTTCTAAAATTTAAATTACGAATGTAAATCTTAAGGTTGACTCAAATTACTAAGAATCAACAGTATTCTCTATAAAGAGCTACATGAATGCAAATATTTAAATCGATTCTCTCAATATCTCTAATATCACTATGAATACTCCTGACCTATGCATAAATGAATTTTCTTCTTCTCTTTCAATATTCGCTCCTTATTCGAATTTGGTATTGACAAATTCTAATTTTAATAATATAGATAATTTCTCTTAAAAGGTAAAATTAAATTAAAAAACTTATAATGAGGTATTAATTATTTTTAATATTTAAATAAAAGACTACCATTTTGATAATAATCAAATAAGCAATCATTTAAAGATTGTTTATGAATATGAACAATTAAAATAATTTAAATAATCCCATATCAGGAGGTTAGGCTTACTTCAGAGTTAATAAATTAATTATCTAAGATTCTGTTTTTAAAAATGGATTTGCTTATCAAGGGGCAGGACTGATACTAAGTGGCTCAACTTCAAATTCCTAATTTACTATTTAGAATACTTAATTTTATAATCTATGGTCTACTTACTAAGGTGGAGCTATATAAGCAGTAAGTATATAACTTAATTCAGTAATCCAGATTCAGTCTTGTAAATTTAATCAAATATTTTCAGGGACAGGAGGATCTATATATTTTAGCTCTACCTAAAGCAATTTAATCAAAATTTAAAATTGTATAGCTAAAAATACATTTGCTTCAGTTGATGGAGGATTTTTATATTCTGAGAATGGATAAATATTTATAAGGTCTTTGTATACTTCTGAAAACGATCCTCAAAGCACAGATATAAATCCATAGTTATAAAAAAAAATAAACTAAATTACAAATGGAATTGGTCCTTTCATTTCTGTTTACAATACTCAAATTTAAATTTACGATTTTTAAATTTAAAATGCAACTTTCCTCAAGTAAATTCCCAACAACGACCCAATCTTATTTTAAATTACATAAAACTCATAACTCTCTATATCTGGATCTTAATTATAGGGTTACTTTAGCTTAGGAGGACTGATTTTTATAACAAGCTCATCAAGTGCAACTATTTTCAATACCACTATTTCATCATCAATGTAAAATTTTTATTATTTTTAAAAATTAAAAATATTTAGAAATTCAAAAGAGTTTAATAAATTAATAAATGAATAAGTTTAGATTTAATTTTTGAAAGATTTTTAATTTACAAATTAACATTAAAATATTATTTTTTTTATTGATTTAATTCTTGAAAGATTTTTTAATCAATACTTAAAAAAACTTTCTTTTAATTTTTAGATATTTATTTAAACTTAAATAAAATTTTTCATTTATTTACAAGTTTAAATATTTTTAAATGATTAATGAAGTAAATTCAATAATATTTTATGTCTAATTTTTTTTTTTAACTTTCATTTTATTTATAAAACAGGTATTAAAACGTTTAGATAAAATAAAAAAGAATGCTTGCTATTAACAGCTAAGATGTGAGTATGATAATAGTTAACAATTAAGGATCTCTATTCTTAAGTGGTGTTAAGATATAGAATAACACATGCAGTGACAGCAAATGTGTTAGTAATTCCATTTTTGTTAACACAGGAAATTTAGAAGTTGTAAATTCTCAATTTCAATATAACAAAGGAAGTTATATGGGTGGAGCAATTAATTTAATAAATCCTGTTAAAAATACCTTAATGATTAATGCAACATTTGCTTTTAATAAAGTAAGCTAGCTGGGAGGAGCTTTATATATACAAAGCAGCTAAGGATAATTTGTTTCTCTTAAGAACTGTAATTTTATATAAAACTCTGCAACTATTGGAGGAGCACTTTATGCTGTTAACCAAGAAAATCAAAATAACAATTACATGAATTGGCTTTTGATTAATAAATCCCTTTTCTAGAGAAATTTAGCCTAATATTATGGTGGTGCATATTTTATAAAATCGAATGCAACATTTGAATAATTTAACAATAAGGGCAACTAACTGGTGAATAATACGAGTGGTAAAATTAAATTAAATGTTATTTATTTCCAATATTTCAATATTTAAAAATTAATTAGTTTTAAAGTATGGCAACAATTATATGAGTTCAAGTAGTCGCTTGGTCCTTGATATATAGCAAATGAAGATTCTTAATCAAAATTTAGATATTCAATAAGGCAAAGGGAAGAATTAAGATAACTATATCATTCAGAGCTATAAAAGTGGGGCTACTTTACCTAACTTGATATTAAATTTGCTTGATGAATAAGGAAACATCATTAATAAAAGCTATTAAGAAACCTTACAAAAAGAAATAATAATTTCTATTAATTAAGCAGATAATAATTATTACGATTTTATAATAAACTAATAAAGTGAATACTATTTCTATTCAACAAATACTTCATTTATTATTGAATAGCTTTTTGTCATAGGAAAGCCAGGTTCTTTTGTATGGCTTAATATTTCTTCATCCTCTAAGAATTATATAGGAAGAGATGTTGACCAGCACTACATACTTTTAGGACTTTAAATTAGAGAGTGTTAGGAAGGAGAAATATTTTAGTAGGCTATTGGTAGTGATGATAAGTAAGATACAAAAATTTTACAAAAGTGTGTTAAATGTCCTTATGGAACGTAAATAAATATTCTATATTTTTTTTTATTAATATTTTATCAGTTGTTATAATTTTTACTCTTTTAAAAAGGTATTAATTAATAGCTCCTACTCTTTCTTCTCCTATATTCGAATGCAACAAATGCAAATAAAATACAGAATGTAAAGGTGGTAATGTAATACTTGTAGATTCTGGTTATTGGAGAAGCAATAATAAGACAGATAATATATTGTAATGTTAAAATCAGCCTTCTAATTGCTTAGGTGGGTATATTGGAAATAAATGTTTAACTGGGACTATAGGACCTTTATGCGAAGCATGTGATTTAGAAAACAAATATTCTAAAGCGGGAACTTTTTAATGCGCTACGTGTAATAATATCTATATCAACGCTCTGAAAATTGTTTCTGTAGTAATATTTTACGTAAGAGTTTAATTTTTTTATAATGTATTTATTATTTGATTATTTATTTTAAAAAATATATATTAATAAAAAAAGATTTTTGTTTCATAATTGACAAGTGTGGGTATATTAAATAAAATCTAAGAAAAATATAGATACGATCCAACTAAAATTATTTAAACTTCCTAGGAACTTAAAAAAAAGAATATTGTTGTTAAAAACCTTACAAAGAAAAGCTGGAGAGAAATAAAAAAGTAACAACAACTATAATCAACTTATAGTTTAGATGCTTCTATTTTACTTAAGATTATTGTCAATTACTTTTAAATATTGGTGGTTATTTCGACATTTCAAATTAAGATTCCAGATACTATAACCACTATCATATCAGTAGCTGGAAGTCCTTCAATGTTGATTAGTGATTTTTCACAGTGCTTTTTCTAATAAATTTCAGAATAATATAATTTAGATTATTTAGCTGTTTCTCTTATTGGTTCTGTTCTGATGCCTGTCTCATGTTCAATAATTTTTATTATTTTAGGCTAAATCATGTATTGTAGATAAACTTATGTTAAGAGCGTTTACATTAAAACCTCTTTGATCTACTGCTTTCTTTATTTTCAGCCAAGCATCTTCAAACAATGCGTGAATCTGTTATATTGCAGAGAAATAGGTAATATTAAATAAGCTATAATTTTTAATATTTATTTTTAATTTTAAATAATCAGATGGCATTTAATATATTTCTTATGACCTAAGATTTTAATGTTATACAGACAGTTACTGGTTTTTAGCATTAAAAATAGTGTTACCTATTATTATAACTGTTTCTATTTTAATACCAGTATACTTGGCATTTTGTATTCTTAAAGTCAAGGACTCATAATTAAAGATCAAGCAATTTACTATTTTAAGAGGAGAGTATGAAGTTCAGTTTTGGTACTGGGAAATGATAAAAATGGCTTCTAAATTACTAATTATGTCTATCCTCATAGTCTATGACAATAACATACCATTAAAGGTTAATCAACATTATTTATATTTATATTAAAATAATTCTTATAAAAAATAATAATAGGCCACATTGGTATTTTTGATATTATCTACTTATGGAGTGTTATTATCTAAATTCCGTCCATACTCTCTTGATTTTTATAACACATTGGATATTGTATCTAATAAATTCTTGCTATTTTCTATACTTTTTGGATATATAGCTTACATAAATAATGGAAATGTCTTCTGGTATTTGATTATGAGTGTTTTGCTGGTAGCAGCAAATTCTATTTTCGTAATTTGGTCTTTTAGATACCTTTTAATGGCATATATTCCTGCATTTAGGGCTAAATTAAATAGCAGAATAATTAAATTTCTAAGATTAGGTATTGTTAGATGCATATTGTCTAAAAAAGTAATTCGCAGGTGGCTTATCTTGAGTTGGTTCATTTCGTTTAGACAAGAATTGTATAAAAAGAAGATGATAAATGCTTGGTCAGGAAAGATAAAAAAAGATGCTCAAAATGATATTCATACTTTAATTATTTAAAAATAAAATAGCATTAATACACCTAAAAATAAGCTATCAATCAATTTAGATCAAAGACCTTCATTTTTAAAATAATAGACATTTGATTCTTAATTTTATTCTCCTACTAATTAAAGAGATACTAAGAAGGATCTCTAAAACAGTCAATAAGTAATTTTGAGAATAAACTATCTAAATATCTAACATTTTATTTATTATTTGCAAATAGATGAAGCAGAGTAGCATCTCAAAAGATCAAACAAATTATCAGGCAATTAATATAAGAAATCTAGATTAATGCAATGGAATGTAAATTGGATACTTAAAATTTACTTAAACTTACTAAATTTTATAAAAAATATAGCAAAATGTTTAGAGGAAAAAGTATCTTTGGTCAAATGTTTGATTTAGTTTAAAGTTTTACAAATAGAAATTTAGATGATTAAGAATCAATGGATAGAAAAAGCAATTTCCCATCGGAATTAAATATATAAATTAACACTCCTATGTCAGTCCATAAATTGATTACAGATTTATAGAATAAAACTTCTAGAAGTAGGTAAAGAAATTATGGCTTTTAAGATGAAGTTCTATTTATAAAAAACCAAGAAAAGTAATTAAAAGACAGTAGTGATATTTTTTAGGAGTAATAATCGAAATAGATAAAAGAAAGTTCTACAATCGATTTGTAGATAGATGAAGTATAAAATAATTAATGTGTCATTGAGTTAAAAAATCTTAATAAATAATAAAATCCTTTAGTTGGAAAATTCAATTAAAAATATTTAACACAAATAACAGATTCAGCATCATAATTTGATTAAGAAGCAACTCATACAGAGAGTGCAAAAAACAGCTTTAAACAGAAAAAATAAATGAAATTTGAAAATTTATTTATCACAAAAAGTCAAGATTTAGAAAAAGAAAATACTCTAAAAAATATTTATGAAAGAAATCAGAATGCTTAGACCTAGGGATAAATATTAAAAATTGAATTGCAAGATATGAGTGAAGGATAACTTGAAAATGGAAAAACATAAAAAGGTGATGAAAAAATAGAGCATTAGAACGAGCTTATATTTAATAAATAAGGAGAGCTAAATTTATCTCCATTAGCAAATAAAATGCCAAAAAAGAATATAATAGAATCATATGAATTAGAATAAATTACAAGTAGTAGTAACACAGATTCAAGCAAGTATTTACAAGAAATTCCTTCTGAAAATTAGCTTGATAATGCAAACAATATTAATAATCAAAATATTTAATTTAAAGAGGATAAAAAATTAATGGTATTTACTGTTTTACCAAAATATTCCAATAGAGATGATCAATAGAGTGAAAATTTTAGTAATTTAGAGAGTCAGTAATAGTTTAGTAAAAACTTAATTTAAATAGAATAAAGTAGAAGTTTAAATTTTAATGATAATAATGAATATTAAAGAAATTAAAGTGAGAATGATGTGCTAGATAACTTGCAAAAAGTAAATAACGAGAAGATTAATTATTAATAATAAGATGCTTAATCGTCATAGTAAGTTGAAATTATTAACGAAGATCAAATTGATTCAAATTTCAGCTAAACAAACGAGCCTTAAGTTGGTATAGAAAAATCAGAAATATCTCAAATTAAAAGTTAATTAGATAATGATAATATTTTATCATATGATCCCTCAAATACTGTAAATTGAATAATTTAAATGTTTTTTGATGAAATTAAAAATTACTAAAGTTATTCATAAATTGAGTATTAAATTTTGAGTAAAAATTATAATTGAAAGAGTTTTTAATGTATTAGAAATTACAATAATCAATCAATCAATCAATTTGTATTATATATATATGTATAAAAATTAGCACAGTAAAGAGTATAATTTTATGTATATAACATATCTATCTATCATTTGTGCTTATTTTAAACATTAATGAATAAATATTACTAATAAATTTAGTAGTTTTTTTATAAATAATTTAAGGTTAGTTAAATCAGCAATACTGATTTTTTTCAGTAATAAATAATTTATTTATAATTTGCATTTGAATTTTTTTTGATAATAACTAATATTATGTTTATAATTGAGAATAATATATTGTCAGTCTTCTTAATTTCATATTTTTTAAATATACTAAATTTTTAATTTAAAAGTTTATTCTAGCTGAAATACAAAGAGATTATAAGCAAAATAAATGGTTTTATTAGGTCGTGTGACAGCAATAGGTATAGCCATAAAAAAGAGGATTGATAGAAGAAAGAATAAATAGCCATAGAAGCATTATTTGGTTGAATTTGCAGAGAAATAAGAAAAAAGACTTAAGAAATTAAAAATATTGAGATACAAAAAATACCCAATTGCAGTATGGTTTCTAGGATTGGTGTTTTTAGCATTTGGAATTTCTGTTATAACACTTATTTTGATGCATAGGCATGTCTTATTTGAGGAATTCGATCACTTAAGTCTATTTTGGAAATACTTCATATCAATTGCATTTTGCTTAATTGGATTTTTCGCAATAGCAACTTCTGAAGTATACACATTAGTAATAAATAAGAACTTAGATGCATTCATTTAAAGGAAGACACCATTATTGATAGGTAGGAGCTTTTATCAAGGGCATATACTGAAAGATTTAAAAGCCATCTTCATTGAAAAAAGAGGACATGTTGCTAGAGATACAGATACTACTAATTATTATATTGTTTTTGAGTTTGAAGACGGAGTTAAAATAGACACAGTCTATGATAGGAAGATTCAAACTATAAAGTATAAGTACGCTGAAATACTTATCTATTTAGGTAGAGAAAATGATGTTGATTTCAGTGATATAAAGTATTACGATATGGCAACTTATAACTACAAATTTGTTTATTAAAGCCCATTTCAGCCTAAAAAAGATCCTGTCCCATAAAATTAAAAAGTTTCAAAAGAAGACATGAAAAAGTATTAGGAATTGGTTGAAAAATATAAGCATGTGTAGGATTCTGACTTTTCATCAGATACAGATGCTTAGTCTAGCAGTGATGACGATGACGATGGAGATGATATTAACAATTAAAGAGCAGCTAGAAATAAAAATAAATATATAAGTCCCAACGATACCTTATAGACATAAGAAGAAAGTGTTTAATTAAGGCAACCCATTAAAACAGAATGATAATATATATGTATATATTAAGTTTATGTTTAATACATACTACCATTTATTCAAACCATTTATAAATATTTTGTTATTTTAAATTACTTTAAATAACTTTTTAATAAAAATGATTATAATTAAAATGAATCATATTTGTATCATCCATCCATCCATCATTTTAAAATAATTTATCAAATTTAAGGAAAGTGAATTAAGATGCATATCTATTTAATTATTGATTCGTATATTATTTATTTATATTTATTATTTATTTAATTTGTTATGATTTAATTTTGTATGGTGTTTGATTCTTGATTTACTTTTTAATTGGATTTTTTATTTAATCACTTTATTTATTTTTTATTTTAATTTTTTATTTAATCACTTTTTTTTTTAATTTTCTTTCTTTTTTTCTTTTATTAATTCTTTTATATCTTTTTATGCTCTAATCTCGAAGCCTTCACAACATCTCAAGTGCTCTGTCTTCTTTTCAAATGTGGTTCTTTTTTTCTCTTAAATTCTTAATAAGCTAAATTATTTGTTTAAAAAATACTTTTATATATTTCTTTATCACTAATAGAAGAATTTTAAGATAATATCTTGTAATTTTAAAGGATATTTGTTTTGATTGTACATGTCGCAATTTAATTACATTTATTATTAAAATTGCTTTAATGGTAGAAAATTATAAGAGGTTTTTCGAATTTTAAAAAACTTGAGGCGAATGGAGGCTGATAAAGGTAAACTGATTCACATGCTATGTATTTAGTTTGTTTTATACGGAATTATCAGCCTTTTCTTTGAAAACTATTAAAATTTTCAAAGATTCATTAAAAACTTTTTCCTCCTTAATTTTCTGTAAATTTATATTTGTATTTTGTAATTAATTATTATATTTTTTCTTAATTAAATAAGCGGCGACTTTGACTATAATTTTCCTTTGAATAATAAAATTTAATTTTCTTAGATAAATTAATAGAAGTTTAAATAAATAAAATTTCTAATTTTTTCCTTCTTATTAAACATAGAAATTTTTAGTTATTTAATTATCTGATGACTAATCTTAAAATACATTCATTTTTTTAAATTTCATCTTTTTCATTTACAAAAAAAATTAAAAATTTAAATTTTGTAAATAAAATAATATTATTTTAAATTATTAAAATAAGAATTTATTAATTTTTCAAAATTACAAAGATGAAATAAACAACTTAGCTTTTATAAATAAAAGTAGGTTTGATTGAAGCCTTCACTTGATCCTTTTTAAATGAAATAAATTTTTATTTTAATTAAAACTTACTAAAAAATTAAAGCACGGCTATATGTGATATGATGATATTATTGCTTATAGTTTTGAAATAGCTTTTTTTTTTTAATTTTAAAATAAATGTTTACTAGAATAAAATATTAAAAAATTAATAAGATAAAATAATAACAGCATTTTTATACTTTGCTATAAAAAATTTTAATTTGTATTTAATTTAATATTTTATGAACATTTTCGTAATTTATTAATTGAAACAATTTTTTCATTAATTTAAATATTTTGATCATATTATGATAGAAAGTTGTTATAAATTTATGTCTAATTAACATTTTTATCTATTAATTTTAAATTCTTTTTCAAATATTAATGCTGAATAATTAATTTTTTTTTGTCTGTAAATCTTTAAAGTATTCATCAATACTCAATATCAAATAGTCAATAAATATAATTTAGCTAAATTTTTAAAAAATATAAAAATAAATTTTAAAAAATCTATTTTTGCAGTTTATTTTTACTATTTCTTAAATAAATAAATAAATAAATACTATTATAAAAATTATTTAGAAAATAATGCTTTTATTTAAAAATAACTATTCAATTTTAATGGTCAAGTATTTTTTAAATTTTCTTAATTTGATTATTTTCAAAAAGTAAGAAATAATTATCTTTCATTTTTAGATTGAAATCAATTACTTATTATGTTAATTATTTTAATTTATAATTTCTATTTTTATTAAATAATAAGAAAAAAAATTATATTATATAAAAATAATGTTTTTTTGCTTAATTTTACTGAGTTGTCAACATATATTCAAAGAAACAATAAAAAACTCAGTTTATAAAATTAATTCTTTTATTATTTAATTTAGTAATTTAAATTTTGATTTTATATTTGCATTTTCAAAATTAACTTCTTAATTATTTAGAGAGGAAAAAACAAATTAAAAACAAATAATTAATTTATAAAAAATACAAACAAATAGAAAGATAATTTGAGCAGCTACTAAAGAAAAATATTAATGCTTAAAGTTTTTAAATCCTTAAATAAGACCACATAAACATTATGAGCAAAATATCAATTCGAAAGAATAGATAAAATGTGTGATTGCAGCTCTACTTATGTTCAGTCTTATCGATATTCCCCATCAGTTTTTTAAAAAAAAATAAAAAGCATTTATATTTATTCATTTAATAGATTGACTCCTTTTCGAAAAGTCAGCGAAAAGGAATATCAAAATTAAAGTTTCTTTTTAAATCAACTAACAACTTTTTCTATTATTTAATAAATTATTTTCAGAAAACTTGAGATATCATATTGCTATTATAATTAAATAAATATTTAAGCTACTTAATTTTACTATAAAATAGATCAATCCTAATAAGAAAAAAATAAAAAATAAAAATAAAATAAATAAATAAAATTCAAATAAATAAATAAATAAAAAAATAAATAAAATATAAATAATTAAATAATTAAATAAAAGTTAATGAGAAAATAAAAATAAAAAAATAAAATAGAACAACAAAATCATTAGCTGAAGAACTCTCGCAGACATTTTTTAATTTAAATGAAAAGAAACACATAAAATATTGCTTGCTTACTTATGTTATACATAAAATTTAACAGTGATACTCATTTGAAAATATCGCTGATGTTAATTTAATTGAAATAAACAGATAATCAGACAGACCTATCTAAATTGAAATTATATTAAAATATTAAAATTTTTTTAAAAGATTCTTATTTATTTGAAATTTAAGATGAAAATAAGCTTTAATTTTAAAAATAATTTATTTTAAATAATTTTATTTATATGCTATTTATCTTTTACAAAAAACTATTTTCTGACATTGATAATAAAAATCTAATATTCACTATTCAAATGTATAATTTAACTTTAATTATAACTACCAATCCTCTTCAATATTTACCACCCAATTTCCAAAATTTTTTCTTGCAAAAATAGTTTTTAAATTCTTAAAATAGAAATATTGCCATAAAATATTTTGAATTGAATATTATTAAAAATACGGTATAATTAATTGATAAAATATGTAAATAAAAAAGAATACTTACTTTTTCGTAAATTACAGATTAATGTATATTATATATATGATGAAATATATTTTTAAAATATTTATATGTCATGGATAGCCTTGTTATTATATCAATTTATTTAAAATACCAAAAAATTCATTTTAAATGAATTTGAGAGATGTTTTGAAGGATGTAAAGACTGTATATCTGAAGAGAAATACAATTTAAGTTGCAAAATTTAAAAGACATTAGAGGTGTTTATAGTCGATGAGCCTATAATTGGGGGATATGAAAATTTAACAAGAATTTTTTATTTATCAGTTTTGAATGGTGAGTGAATATATGACGCATTTTGAAAATTTATTACTCATTTTATTTACAATGTAATTACGTATTATAAAGTGAAATGAAAATACGTAAGATATTGCTGCATTTCGGATAGATACAGAGTGATTGTTGTATATTTATAAGAATTTTCATTATATCTAAAAAAGGATTCAATACTGCTTGATAACTAACAAGCATTTCTACTTCATTCACACTTTAAATAGAATAAATCTTTCTCTTTAATAATTCATTTTGCTAATATAAAATTTTAAAAGTAGAAAAAAACAACTCTATTATTGAGAAAATCAATTTAGAAATAGCTTAAAAACAAACAAATTAGAGATATTAAAATGTCAACTAGCTTGAAGGGTATCACCATCTTAGAAGAAAACTAATACACTCGTGAGGTTTTGACTCCTGAATGTTTACAATTCGTTGCCACCTTACATAGACAATTCAACTCTACTAGAAAGGCCCTCCTCAGAGCCAGGAAAGAAAGAGCTTAACTCGTCGATAGAGGTATGGCCCTCACCTATCCTCCTGAAACTAAGCACATTCGTGAAGGAGACTGGAAGGTTGCTCCTCCTCCCAAGGATGTTGAGAGAAGATGGATCGAACTTACTGGCCCACCCAATCCTAAGCTCACCATCAACGCTATGAACTCAGGAGCTGACGTTTTCATGGCTGATTTCGAAGATGCACTTGCTCCTACATGGGTAAATTAAGTCAGTGGACAAAAGACTCTTATCTTAGCCAATAAGAAAGCTCTTTAGTTCAATGACAAAAATAAGGAATACAAGTTAAATCCTGATTCTTACACTGTTCTTTTTGTTAGACCTAGAGGCTGGCATTTGGAAGAAACTCACTTAGTCATCGACGGAGAACCATGCTCTGCATCATTATTCGACTTTGCAGTTTATTTCTTCCACAATGTTAGACTTAGACTTGCTAATGGTTGTGGTGGAATCTATTACTACCTTCCTAAGATTGAAGCCTACAGAGAATGCAGACTTTGGAATGATGTCTTCGTTAAGGTAATAAATAATTTCAATAAGAATTTAAAAAACTTTTAAAATTTAATTATTTAATCTGGTCACAATACTTTTCTTTACTGATAAGAATTATTGAATTGAATAAAAAACCCTTCAAATTAACTAACTTCTTCTACTATTTAATTTAATTAGAAAGATCGTTTTTTAAAGTAATTAACAAACAAACAAATAAATAAATAAATATCTATTTTTAATTAATCAAAAATTTATTTAAATGTTTCTAGCAAATTTTTGACATAAAAATTATTTAATTTGAATTTTTTTTCAATAAAATTTTGCAGTCTTCTTAATTTATTAGGAATAATAAACTAGCTTACAATTTTTATTAAAATAGGCCTAATAACTATTCAACTTACCTATTGGCACAATTAGATGCACAGTCTTGATCGAAACTTTGGGTGGTGGTCTTGAAATGGAAGAATTCCTTTATGAATTAAGAGATCACATTGTTGGATTAAATGCTGGTAGATGGGACTACATCTTCTCTGCTATTAAGATGCTTAAGAACAACAAAGCTGCTATCCTCCCTGACAGATCCCAAGTCACTATGACCGTTCCTTTCATGAGAGCATACACAAACAGACTCATTCAAGTATGCCACAAGAGAGGAGCTCATGCTATTGGTGGTATGAGTGCTTTCATTCCTGCTAAGGATAAAGCTTAGAATGAATTCGCTTTTAACAAGATCACTGAAGACAAGACTAGAGAAGTTAACGACGGTTTTGATGGATCTTGGGTTGCCCATCCAGGAATGGTTAAGCACGCTAGAGATATATTCGAAAAATATTTAAAAGGAAAGGCTAACCAAAAGTAGGTATTACGTGAAGATATTAAAGTAACTGCAGATGATATCACCAATTTAACTGTTGAAAGTAATTAACAATTTTAAAATAATTTTAAAAGCAAGTTCATAAAAAGAATATTTTAGAGAAAAAACTATTTTAAAAATAAAAAGCAAAAAAAAAAAAGTTGAAAAAAATATGAAAGCAAAAATGAAAAGAAAAGTAATTTAAATTAATATAAATATTTTAAATAAAACTAGAACCTATTACTGAAAATGGTGTTAGATAAAATATCAACGTAGCTATTTAATACACTTATTACTGGATTACTGGTACTGGAGCAGTTGGTCTCCATAATTTGATGGAAGATGCTGCTACTGCTGAAATTTCCCGTTCCTAACTCTGGTAGTGGATTAGATATAGATGCAGAACTGACTCTGGAGTCTTAATAAATGAAGCCCTTTACAGGTAAATATCAATTTCTTTCAATAAAAAAAGATTAATTTATAATTATTTTGAAATTAAATTTGTAGAGCTGTAAGAGATGAAGAAGTAACTAAATTAAGATCAACTTTAACCAACGAAGTGGCTTTACAAAGAGCTGTTGATGTTATTGACAAAGTAGTCCTTGATGAAACTTTCTACGATTTCTTAACAGTTGAAGCATATCCAATTTTAAATAACTTAAATGTCTCTCATGTTACTCCTAGACTTTGAGAAGAAAATAAACTAACTATCCCAATATTTTAAAACTTAAATGACTTTTTATAAATATAAAATATTTTTATAATAAATTTCTTTTATTTTGCATACATATTTGAATAATCTATCTACCTATCTGCATAACAGTATTTTACTTTTAAAATATGATCAATTCTAAATATTTTTTAGTTAAATTTTATTTATAAAATGAACTTTTCATTTATTTTCTCATTTAATTTTTAAAAAAATAAATATTTGTGTTTAATTTGAAAGTTTTATTACAATTATTATTTTAAATTTTATTACTATTTAATATTTTAGTTATATAAAGTGTACTTTCTAAAACAACTTATCAGGGGATATTTAACAAAAATATCATATAAAAATATATCTATAAAATTAAATGATAAATGTTCATACTAAATAATAATAACAATTGATTTAAATTTTAAACCCTATTGATATAAAATAAATTTAATATTTTTTATCTTTGATTTAAAAATAATTTTATAAATAATTAATTTTTGAAATCAATAAAGATAGATAGATAGATATTTTTGTAAAATATTTTTTAGTGAATTTTAGAGCAATAATACAATTAGAAAGAAAATTGTTATTATATGTTTAATTAACTGATTGTACTTAAAAACTAATCAAATTTAAAAAAAAAACAAAATAACTTTTAAAATTTAGAAATAGATTGATTACAAACAAATTAAAGAAATATAAATCACAATCAAATGCTTTTAACATTTATAGTTGTTTATTCAATGGAAAGGATTCTTTTTAATTATTTGTTAAGCTGGTCTACTCCCATTTTAGGTGTTATTAGGCTAAGGGATGTTAAGATTTTTTTATAATATATTCAATAGTTCAGGATTTTTTATTTTAATATAGTCATTAATTTATTCTAATTTATTATTACGATCAATTAGCTTTTTGTTCATTTTTGAATATCTGTACATAATATTTTATTTAACTTATTCCTAAGTTGCCAAATCCATCTACATGCTTAATAAGAGCATATTTTTATGTCCTAAATCTTGTAAGAAAACTAAATTACCAACAGGTTTTCCTATTTCCATCAAGAATACTATTTTTTCATTTTGCTAATTTATAGAGGAATTTATGATATTTAACAAATTGTTAGGGAATTATTCAAAATCAACTTAGATCTGTTCCTCGAACTTAAACTGCTAGAAAGTATTGTAATCAAATTACTTGATATATGTAAAAAATACATCAACATCGCTTGTTAATTCAATCTTAAACCAATTCAGATTTTTTTTGTCTGTTGATTATCCAAAAACCCTAATATGAATTTTTTCTTCTCCTATTATTTTTTCTGACATATCTTCTTGCATTAATCTAAGTTCAACCTATGCTTGTTTTGAAAAATATTAGAAAGTTCCATTCTCTAATAGATTAGGGTCCATATAATCTTATATTTCAAACAAATCCATTTTTTAAGTATTTATTCTTATTACTTTGCTAATTTATTTTGATATATCACTTTTTGATTTAATCTAAAATATACAAATAAATAAATAACAATATTTTCGAGTATTCAGTGCCTAAATTTAATTATTGATTGATTAATTACCTACCAAAAACTTATTTTTTTCATTCATTTTTAATGAAAAAAAATTTTTAATAAGATTTTTATTAAATTTTCGAAAAGTGTTAATGAAAATGTATTAAATATCAACGATAGAAAATAGAATATAAACATACTGTACATGAAGGTTGGTTACTTAATTAATGAAATTTCAAAGAATAACAAATTAAATTTTTTTTAGAGTTGTTTTTATTAACAGAATTTTTTAGATTTAACTTTAAGTAAAACTTAATGAAATATTATTGTTATAGTTTAAATTCTACTTAATTTTTAAAATACATAACTTAAAATTTGAGGGTGTTTCAGTAAATAATGAAGGATTTTTTTGTTTTTGTTTTTCTTGTAAAATGATAAAATATTAAATGGTATTTTACTTTAAAGATAATTTTTAATTTTTCAGTAAAATTAACTAAATTAGGATTGATTTTTATCAATTTTTTAGTGAAATAAAGCTATTTATTTCATTTGGAGAAATATTATAATTATTACACACATATACACATTTATTTAGAATGAATAAAAATTAATTGATAATTTATATTTGTTTATTAGTTGTATTTTATTTACAAATTAATAGTCTATTTCTTTTAAGTTAACTAAAAATTTAAAATAATTTATTATATTACTATTTATAACTCAATTAAGAGACTCTAACTTACTTTAATGCAAGCTAATTTTCTTTTATTTTAGTATAATTTAATAAATTTGGTAAAATTGTTATTTTTGATTGATTTATAACTATTTATTTGATTTTCTTATAACTACTTAAGAATTATTTACATTCATTAAATATATGATTTATTAAGGCTTCCATTTTCTAATAGATCCTCATATCTTTAATAAGACTTTAAGGATAATTCCCATTTTAAATTAGATTAACTTAAATCACCTTACTTTCTGAAGCTTCTATCTTTCTTCAACTCTCTTAGCAATGAATAGTTTTTTCTTACAATTTTCTCATCATAGGAAGGATAATCAATATAAGAGACACTATTTAATCAAAATTTAATAAATATTTATTTGTGTTATTAAATATACTTTTCATTTTAACAAAATTGAAGTTCTTTATTTCCAGATTTATCTAAGCTATTTTCAGTTTTTAGAAAGCTTCTGCTCAAATTTTAGTGTTCATCTTTTTATAATAAATTTGTTATTATTATAAATTTATTTATTTAAACTCTAAAACAATTTATTTTCTTAATATTAACTCAACTAATTCAACATTTATTTTGAAACTTGTATTTAAAAGAAATGTTAATTTTTATTACGAAAAGATAAATTTCTTGTAGGAGAATTTTTCCATCTTTTTTCTCTAATAATATATTACTGATTTTCTTTCTAATATTCCCTAAGATGCATGCCAAAGTCTACTTAGCTAATGTTAAAAGGTTAACCAACTTTCTTAGTTACTAAATGCAAATGCTTTATCCAAAAAAGACTTTTAAAAACCATCAACTATGTAAATATATATCAAATTACTTCATGAGGCTTTTTAATAAAGTTAAGTAATTAATTAATTATATTTATTATTATATATTACTTTTTCATGGTGGACCTTAAAGTCTCTATTATTTTTAATCATGTAGTTAGATTAATACTTATTTTCAATACTAAATGGACGAGTAATCGTTTTAGTTAATTTTTTATTGAAAGTAAAAGACTCAGGATTTCTAAGACTCTTAATGTATTGATGAGCTGTTTTATCATTTGAAACATGCCTGAAATTGTTCAAGTTCCTTTACATATTTATACAAAGATATTAAAAAATCCTTTAAATTGTAAATATTATTTATTTATTTATTCAAAAGACTTAATAAAGCTTAATAGTAGTATGATTGATTACATGCATATAACTTTCTATTCGTTGAGTAAAGATTAATGAATTCCACTACTATTTAGTTGAGTCAATCCATTATTTTCCTAAATTTCTATAGCTTAATTCATATTTTTTGAAAATTTTTTATCATATTAGAGGTTTTCCCTCTATTTATTTCTAATAAATTGTGAATTAGATTAGTCTAAAGTTTAGTTTTTATTTAACAGTTCCCTCATTTTATTGGTACCTGAAATACTCCTCAAAACTCTTCCTCTAGACTTGAATGTATCAAATTCCTAATCTTAGTATTAGGAAGTGAATTTCGTAGATTTTGAACCAGATAGATCATTCATTTTATTTTATTAAGATGCCATAATGAAGGATTTATTTAATGTACTAAGATCTCTTTTCATACAAAAGGAAAGATTAAGCCCTTTCGTACTTTTTTCCTTGGATTCGCTATACCTATCACCGTTGTTTTGCTGCAAAAATGAGCTGTTTTCTATAAATTCTTTAAGTCCCTAGTTAGACCCATAAGGTCCAATCCTAAGAGTTCTCTTAATGGCCATCTATTAAAGCACTTGTATAAAAAATATTAAAAATTGAGTAAATCTACGATCAATTTTATTAAACTAAGCAAATATTAATTTATAATTTTATAATTTATTGATATTTAATAGGTTTAATATAAATACCATTCATTTGCTCAATTACAAATTAAATAAATTTTCACCTTTAACAGAATCCTACTTACATACTATACATGCATTCATTCATACACATATATTTTTGTATTGCTGTAACTTTTTACTAGATTTAATTGCATATTTAAAATAAACATAAAATATTAATCCTTTAAAAATATATGTAAAATAGATTTGGTAATTTTGAAAATCTTTTATTCCTCTAAAATTAGTTAATATTTGTTTAAAATAAAAATTATTTTTTTTTATTAAATAACCTAGAATTTTATTTATTTTTGTAAAAAAATTAAAAACATTAAATTAAAACAAATATAGAAAAATTTATTTCTTTCTTTATTTATTTATTTATTTGAGATACTTGAAATAATTTTATTGAAATTATTACTATTATTTTTTATAAAAAGAAGAATTTTTCTTTTCTTTGGATAAAATGCTTGTTTATTTGTTAGGAGTGTTTATTATTTATGATTATGAATTCATTTACTTTTAATTGAAGTATTTATTGGGTTAAAATTGAAGTGAGAACTGGATTTTTATCTTGAAATATTATTAGCTGGAATGTTTTATTGGCTAGTTAAATCAAATTATAATGATTAAGGCATTTTAGGGGATAGTAGAGTGGTAGAAATTTATGAAGAAGTATAGACATCATTTTAACTTGAAATTTTGTCATTAGATTGTTTTTATTGTATATTGGTTTATGAGAATGGCATAGATTTATTGTACTTAGGAGACAGCATGTCTAAATTTGCTAATGAGGTTTATTGTTAATGGTGAGAAATATAATAGTTTACAGGCTTTCCCATGTGATTTAATATGACAATTTTTTCAGATGATTAAATTGGAGTTTCTTTTTTGGTTTAAGGAGATTCTAATTTGTTAGATTAGACAGCTTGCATTGAGAATACTGATTTTTTTAATCTGTTCATTTCTTTTTGCTTATTTTGCAATTGTTTTTCTGTTTCTGTTTGTATTTATTAAGATTTTATGAGCAAACCTGTAAAAGCATTTTGATCTAGAGAAAAATTTTATATTTTTTTGGTTTAATTATCTTAAACATATCTTTGGAATGGAAAATGTTTTAATTACTAAACACCCGATTAAGTTCTATGTTATTACGAATCGTTTTTCTGTTTAATATGTATATTTAATTCTTTATTTTTAGCTGAGTTTATTGTTAAATTGCTATAATCCGAAGTAGTTTGTGAAGAAGGTTGATAAAATTTAGTTAAAATATCTGAGAGTTATTTTTATTTTTCTTAAGAAGCTTATCTGAACAGCGAAACATTTTGATTTTGAGAATTATTTTTTGGAAGTTATTTTTGCTGATCTTAGACTAATTCACTTTATTAGCTATGCAACGTTTGGCTGAGAAAAGTAGATATCTATTGAGATTGTTAGCTTACTTCTTAAGAACTCTTTTGTTTTGATAATTCTAAGTGCATTTTACTTGAAGATATTGAAGATGGATGGACTATCCTGCTTAATTTTTGAAGTGATTATCTACTAGCATTTGGTGGAGTCAATAAATTTTATACTTTTTACATATCTTTAATTGTATTTTTGTCTCCAATTTAGTTGGAATCAGTTAAATTTTATGAGTCAAGCTATTTGATTTTAATGAAAAATAAATTTTAATTTACAATAAATTAAAATGATTGTTTACTTATTTAATTTAAGAAGTATTTTCTATTTGTATAGAGTTTGATTACTTCTTTTGCTATCCAAATGAAGTTTACCTTGATTATTTTTTAATAAAAAATCAATCAATAATTCTAAATTATTTTTTATTAATATTTACTTAATGCATGAACTAAAATCGTACGGTGAATCAAATTTACTATTAGATAATTGACAATTAAATATGTTTAAGGAAGGTGATTTTATTAGTTTTGATTATTTTTGAGGAATATTATTTACAGGTGTACATTATTTATGATTTGGAGAAAGAGATTCAGTTGATATGTTAGAGTGAATTGAAGACTTTTATCTGCTAAAGTTAGAATCTCTCACAGATTACATTGAAATTTATCTGCTCAAGTTTTTTTATTTAGGTGAATGAATGGTTTTGTTGAAAAGTTTCTCAAATTCTTGTTTTTTTTATATTTTTGAATTGAACATGTACTTATATCTTAAGGGAGAAACTGTGCTAGACTTAGAGGAACATGCTAAGTTGTTAATAAATATTTCTTAAGATTAGTTGTAGAAAGCTTTTGTTCGCTATATTTCCTAAGTAGTTTTTAGAATTTACCTATTAATCTTGTTAATCATTTTAAGTTCGTCTGCATCATGACTAATGTGCAATTTCTTTTTCTGTTTCTCCACATTATTTGATTAATTTATATTGTTTGAGTTAATTTATTCAGTTTACCTTTTGGTCATTTAATTTGGTTCACTTTTATCTTGTAAATTAATATGGGACTACCTTCTTTTGATATTTTATAAAAGAGTATCAGAATATCCTAAAGTTGTATAGTCAACTTTAAGGTGTTTACTATCTTTTTGTATGTTTTTCTTTCTATCGAGAGAGTAGTTTAAATAGGTTTTTGGATCTACAAGTAGCTCGTTTCGCTCACTCATCTAGTGTATCTGCTAATGCTGCTGCTCTTGCTCGTTTTCTTAGTGGTTAAAAATAAAATCTATTATCTAAGAAGGTTTTAATTTTTTATTGCTTAATGACTATGGATTATATCCATATTTTATTGCTAAAGCATCTTATAAAACCTAATCTTTTTTGAAATCTTCAATCTTTTATTTATTTATTGTATCTGATGACAGTAAATCTTTTTAAAAGTAAGAAATCATAATATTATTTAAGTCATTTTGATAGGATTCATTCCTAGATATATTACTTTTTTGCTATAATTTTTAAGGTGATTGTTTTGAAATTTTGACTGGGGAATTTGTATTTGAATTTTAGATTTGATGATTGCTATTTTATATCTTTTGATATTCAAGATTTGAAGATTCCTACTAAGGTGTTGGCCTCCTTATCATTTCGGAATCGTATGACTTCCATTTTTTGTTTTTAAACTACTTTTTTCTTAAGATGTGAGGATTTTCTTTAATTATCTATTGCTACTCATTATTTAATGGAATTCTTTGTTAGTTGAGATGAATTTTTTTAGTAATCTGAATTTATTTTTTTTTCCTTTACTCCATCCATTATATTTTAGTAGATGTCTTCATCTTGAGATATTTTCTTATTTCAGGAAAGTCATTTAGCATTCTTTTAAAATCTTGTTTAGTTATTACAAGCATGGAACAATTATATGACTTAACTACTGCAGAATAATAACAAATTTTTACTTCTCCATTTAAATTACCTTAATTTGCTTAAGGATTACTTTAATCTTCTTCTTTATTATCATTTTCATTTTCATTTGCTTTATTTAACTAATTCTACTTTTTATTTGTCAGTCCTTGTAAAATAATCTCATCACCAATGATTTCATATTTTCCAAGTAGGCACAAATTTATTTTTAAATTATTTGATGGATTTTTTTCATCAATACTTTCCATGTAGCAACTTACGTCACCTTTTTTAATGATATACAGCCTTTCAATAGGTTCTCCTTACTTTTATAAAATCTTCCCTGATTAATATTTCACTTTAGTAAAATACAATTAAATCTAATTGAGTTTTGACTCTGAAAATGAAATGAGAGATTTATCAATTCCTGCAGGTTTAGAGCTAGAAGTTAAGTGGTTTTAATCCTCTTAATCTTCAGAATTAATTTCTGTTTGAGAGTTATTGTACATTTTGTTGTGAGGAAGGAAAGTCTGGAATATAAATTCAATCCTTTTATTAATCTGTTACTACTCAACCTCTTTTAGAGTTTTTGAATAATGTTTCTTATATAAACTAGCAAATATGCAATCTGTAAGACAAATAACTGTTGCTGAACGAGGTTTTCTAGAAAGAAGACCTAGCTCACCAAATGATTCACCTTTTTCATAGATTTTAATTGCTTTATACATAAATCCTAAGTTGTTTTGCTTGTCAAAGAAATGAGGAGCATTCTCTAAATACTACAAATCTATATCTTGATGTATGCTCTGCTAGATTTCCTTTCTTAATCTTTGGATTCTTTCGTTCATAAAGGATTTAGGTCCTATAAATTTAAATAACTTATCTAAAAACGGATGGTTTGAATCTTTAACCTCAAGTGTTTTTTTCTAAGAGTATCTTATGTACCTATTTGCATAAATAACCAACCACACTATCTTATGGAATAATCTCCACTTTAGTATTTTCAGAGTTGATAGCATGTTTAAACTGCTCTATCCCTTCATTAAAAGAGAAAGCCTTTTCTTTGATTAACTTTATGCGCCAGGCGAAGAAGAATGTTTCCTCGAATCAATAAATAGCTAATTTAAAGCAGAAGAGAAATTCTATCCATTTGAAAGAAAGGACATTCTTTAACTATTAGCTTATTAAGTAGCATGCTGATTGGAATCTTTATCATTTATCAACACCAAACATTTGCCTTGCAAAACAATAAAAAAACTATCTGCTATGTCACCTTAATAAAATACGACCTTTCCTTTCTAACGGAAATCGAAATTAAGATACTTGCATATTTTTCTATGTAAATGCGCTTTCTAATTAGCTTGGTCTTTGTTAATTTATTCAAAAAATTTTAAATCTTAGGTGAGATGCTCAATAGAAATTAGCTCGTTTAATGTTCTATTTGATCGCTTGAGTAGGATTATTAGCTTTTCCTCATTAGAAAGTTAGCTTTTTTTATTGAATTTTGTTTATAAAATACTATTTTCCGAGGCTTGTTAAACCTCTATGCCACTATTTACACATCTTATTTCATTTTATTATGAGACTGACTCTTAGTTTTCTTCTTCAGAGTTATTCATAATATTTTAAATGGTGCAATAATTTAATCGAATAAATCTTTAAATAATTGATTAATTAATTAATTTATGATTTCGGTATTTATTTTGATAATATTTGGTTGGTTATAGTCATGTAAGTATAAGAAAATCTTCATATCCATTAAATAATATGTATTACAAATTATTAATAGCATTCTAAAAAAGTTAAAATTGTTAAATTCCACAAAAAAGGAAATACTTGTGGTAGCATAAAGTCGAATAGAAGATTTTACAAAAGAATTCATTTGTTTTGTAAATATTTTTATTGAAACAGTAAATTAAATTAACTTATTTAAGGAAGGAAACAATTTAATTTTTTAATGTTCACGTAAATTTACATTAATTAAATTAATTAATATGATAATAACAATTATTAAATTAATTTCTTCATTTCTTTTTTAAAAATAAAAAACTAAAATTTTAAAAATAATTGTTATAATCAAATCATTCATAAAACTGATTACCTTTTTCTAAATTAATTTATTTTAATTATAATCAGCTATTCTAAAATCAATATTACAAATAAAAAAAATATCAAATATTTTTCAAAATTTTTGTCTTAGAAAGCCATTAAATATTGTAATTTCTTAGGAAATTATTGAAAATAACAAATAAAATTAATTTTTTTATGATAATATCAAAGTCTTCTAATAAAACTTTGACATAATATTGATAAATTTATTATACCTTGAATAAAGCTAAGGAATTAATGAAATGAATTAGTAAAAAATAGATAAATTTATTAGTGAGAATAAGTTCAATACACACAAAATAGTTAGAATTTCAAACTTTTTAATTAAAAAGTGTTTCATGCTATATTATATTATATTATATTTTTATAAAAATTTTTATTTATTATTATCCATTAATCTTGCTATTTGTGACTGTATACAATGAATGTCTTATAATTAATTTCTCTAAAATAATTTTTTTTGAATTTTTGATAGTTTTTGTAGTTTTTGGAGAAAATGTTTTTATTCAGTTTTTTAAATTCATTATTTTCACAAAAATAAAAAATAAACTTTTCCATTTAGCCATTATTAAAGTAGTTTTCATAAAAAATTTTAATAACTTAATTCAAACTTAAAATGATTAAAAATAAATTATTATTTAATTTAATTACATTTTATCTTAAAAGCTTAATTGAATGTTTATATTTAGAATTTAAATCGCTTTTAGAAATTGATATTTTCTCTTTTTTATGAAAAAATAAACTTTTGAATGGAGGTAAACTTTAAAAAAAAATTATTTGAAATATACTATGTGAGATCATTAAATAAATAATTAAAAAAATACATTTAATTATAGATAAATTTATAGTTTTATAAATATAAAAATAATAACAAATCTATATTTTTTGAAGTTAAATTATCCTATTTCAAAATACTATATATAATAAAATATATTATATTTATTATCATCTCATTTTCAAATATTTTTAAATTTATTCATCCTTTCTTCACCGTTTTTTTATCATCAAGAGAAATTTATTTTAAAGGCAACTAATCTTTTTGGTTTAAGGTACTTGCTTTTTACTTTCGATTATTTTGAATTATGGATTTTGTTTCACTATCAAAAACAAATAAACTATTTTACCTTAGATCAAGTGTCAAATTTGAGAGATTAGTGCAATTTCTTAAAGCAAAACATAAGCCTGATGTACCTTTATTGCCAATTTAATTACACCTTTTAAAATATTGATGAAAAAATATATAATTAATTTGTTAGTTATTTAAAGAAAAAAATGAACAAAAAATATAAAATAAAAAATAAGAAACTAGTTCATTACAAATAAAAGCAAAAGTAGAAAATGAAAAATGAGTTTAATAAATAAATAAAAATAAAAAAACAGAATCAAAAACTAAAAAAAGAAATTAAATAAAATAAAAGATTTAGTTAGTTGTTTTGTTTTAAATTCATTTTTATATTAAAATATATCACAATCAAAAGTAAATAAACTGTGTTTACTAAAGTCCAATAATCAAATTTGTGAGATTAATGCAATTAGCTAAACCAGAACCTATACCTAATATACCTTCATCACTAATTTGATTGAGTCTTTTTAAATATTCAAGAAAAAATAAAAATTACTTAGTTTATAAAAAGAAAAAAATGAAGAAACAATATGAAATATTAAGAAACGAATTAATAAATTAATAATAAAAGCAAAATTTGAAAATGAAAAAATTAGTTAAATTAGCAAAGAAAAAAGAAAAAAATAAGCAAATCAAAAAGAAAAAGAAATCAAATAAAAGCTAATAAATAAATAAATTAAAAGATTTGTTTTAATTTAAATTAATTTTTATATTAAAAATATCACAATCCAAAACAAATATATTTTTTTACTAAAGATAAAGTTTTAAACTTGAGAGATTAATGCAATTAGCGAAAGCTTAACCTATGTTTAATGCACCACTTACTTCTATTCTATTGACCCTTTTTAAATATTGAAGAAAAAATAAATAATTAATTATTTAGTTAAAAGGAAAAAATATCAACAAAAAAAATGTATTAATTAAGTGAAAAAGAGTTAAATTAACAATAAAAGAAGAAAAATAAAAGACCAACAAAATAAAAAAGAAAAATAAATCTAATAAAAAGCTAATAATAAATAGTTTAAAAGAGTTAGTTAATTATATTTTATTTTTATATTAAAAATACCACAATTCAAAACAAATTAACTC